GTAGAGCTCCGCCTCAACTGATACAGACTCTTGCAATCTGCTGAGATATAACTGAATCTTTTGATTTTGAGTTAACATTCTAGCTCTTAAAACCAACACTTCCAATTTGTTTTAGCTTGGTGAGCTCCCCTAATTTATTGCTTTAGATGGAAAGTTCAAACCGTAAGTCGCATTGGTGGACAAACGCTATCTAGGTGGGATCCGGAATATCTTGTACCATTTGTAAATACCATAGCTGAGCAATTCCCTCTAAGTGATAAGAGGCTAAGCTCACCTTTCTACCTTAGGTGTCTGATTGATGTCGGAAAAAAGTGTTTAGGCTAATCCAACCTAAAGGGTCTTCTAGCCCATTGAAGCAAGGAAAGTCAAAATTTTAGTACAATCAAGTTTCCTCCAAAACTCCAAAATTTTTAGAAATGGTTGTCCTAGAAATCCCTTCTCCTTGTTTTTGCTTGACTTTGAGCACTTGAAGAAGTCAGACCTTCTTTGTGTATTCCAACTCGAGAGCATGGCATCCAATTTGACATGAAGTTGCTCAGCCTTCTCATTATAGGCCAATTGCCTACTCTTCGGACAAGAGTAAATTGAAGAGTTTGGTAAGTTGTTCTTGCACAAATTCACCCCTAACTGATGGCTTTAATACCAAATTGTTATGGGCCCAAATCTGCTATCGAGTTATGGGTCTCTGGTAAGTGGAGGTAGAAGGTGTTTGTATGAGCGAAGAGAGAGTAGAATTCTTCTTTCGGCCTATTTTGAATAATTGAATCCCAAATAAAGGGAGCCTTAATACCTCTGAGTTAAAGTACTCAAAGACTAATTGATAATTTTAGGTACTGTATTCATTGGTGTTTTTGACTATTTGTACAAGTTGAATAACAACCATTGTTACGTCAAGAGACATGACATCCAATTTTGCATGAAGCTGCTCAACCTTCTCATTATAGACCAATCGCCTGCTGTTCAGATAAGAGTAAATTGGTAAGCTGTTCTTGCACAAATTCATTCATAACTATTGGCTATGTTACGAAATTGTGACTGGCCCAAATTTGCAATCGAGTTATGGGTCTCTAGTAAGTGGGAGATAGAAGGTGTTTGTGTGGGTGAAGAGAGAAGTAGTACACTTGTCAGGGCGGATCATTCTCCTAAAATGAAAGTGGAGAACTCCTTAAAGATACTGAAAAAAAAAAATGCATAAAGAAAAATTCAACCAACAACGAAAAATAATTTAGAATTGGTTAGAAATAGAAATGAATGTGAAGACTCCTTAAGATACAATAAAAAAATGCTAAAGAAAAATTCAACCAGCAACTAAAAATAATTTGAATTGGTTAACCTTCAATTATTTTGTTTTCTTTGTAATCGTCAGTGGGTTCGGTACGTGACTGCTTCTTTCTGCCATGAGTATAACGTGCGTACATTGTAGTAGCATTGTATGAAAAGCTCCTTCTCATCTTCGTTTAGGAAGAAAGAAAATGTTTTGTGACAAGCGGGTATATGTATACTTTCTTGGGCTTTGGAGTGAAAGTGACAATAGAACTTTTAGAGGATGGAACGTCATTCTAACAACGTTTAGCTTTGTTGTTAGGTTCCATGTTTCCTATGGGCTTCAGTAACAAAGCTTTTTTATAATTATTTGCCTATGCCCTTATTTTTTTTCTCAATGAGAGTTTGATAATTAAAAATAGACTAAAAAATAGGCCAAACTGACTTCTCTTGCACCCTTTTTCATTTTTTTTTTATCTTATTTTTTCTCTTCCACGAAACATTGGGCGATTTGATCATCTTCTGCCTGTCTTCTCTTTGGTGAATGCCTTGTTTTTCTCTGTACTACCTGTGTCTATGTAAGGAAATAGAGAATAAGGTAGAATATTAGGTTGGCATATTTGTCTTTATTTAAGAAGTTTGTGGGAGGGAGAGTCCATGCTTCTTGCTTAAAATCCTGAAATTTTCTGTTAAATGTCATTACTATATTTGTTAATTTCGTTTCGGTTTTGGTTTCTTTGGTCCCTAGCAGTCTATTATCCTTGTTATCATCATTTTCTTTTTGCAGGAAGGAATACGAAGACCTTTCAATAAAGGCCAAGTCAAGATTTAGCATATCCTTAAGGAACCTTTCACAACCTATGTCACTTGGGGACATAGCGAGAACTTGGGATGTCTGTGCACGTACTGTTGTTTCCGAGTATGCTCAGCAGAGCGGCGGTGGCAGCTTCTGTTCAAGGTATGGAGCTTGGGAGAACTGTTTGAGCGCTGCATGATTCAAAGAATCGATCGAAAAGGATTTGGCCGACTGACCAGCTCGGTATGTTTAGGGAAGACGGGCTGTTTATTCAAGTAACGTTTGCGTATCATAAGGTATGCCTCACTAAAGCTGAAAGTACACGCTGCATGTTGTTTAATCAGGGCTAGGCTAATTCAGTATTTATATTACCACGGTGGATCTGCTTTGCTTGTGAACACTGATTCCTTTTTGGTTCTCTCTCTCTCTCTCTCTCTCTCTCTCTCTCTCTCTATGTAAATCATGAAATGAGGGACTGTAAAAGTGAAATACCTGATGTTCACTGAATGCATAAATTTATTGTCTGAGTTGAAAAGTATATGTGGAATAAAACTACTGCTGTGTTCATCTTGGACTAGACCTACTGGAATGTGTAGTAACCCAATTTTTTTGCCTACATGCTGATTGGAGCCATTACTTGAATGAAAAATGTTTTGATTGTTGCTGGAACATATTTGGAGTATCTTTTGTCATATGAACTCGGTTGAATTAGGTTAAAAACTCGACTCTCGGTTTGACCTGTTGACATATGAACTGTTTTTTTTACCGATATTTAAATTTACGTGCCAAAATACAGCCATTATATAGCAAATTTCACCAAAATTTGTAGAGAAAAAAAAAAAAAAAAATCGAAGTTGAGGAAGTTGGGTCGATTACTCATTCCTACCCAACAAATATATGCAATATCTCATTTTAGAATGCATCGAGATAGATAAGAAATTGTCGTGAACAAAATATTTATGAGGTGCACTTTGTCATCCTCATCCAAGTCAAGTTGTTTGCATATCCATTTTTGTCCATACAACGACCTTCATTTGTGAGTGAAATGAAGATCTTTTTCTATTCCCTAGTTGTGATGACTTCTGGTTTCAGGATGCTTGTTAGTTGGTGTTTCCAGAATATCTCCTCTTCCAACGACTCCCTTGGGGCATCAAATGATGGTAGTTTTGGAATGTAATACTTCTTTGAACCTAATCGAACGTCCTCTTCTGCATGCTCGAAAGCATTTGATGTCATCTTTGTAGGGGCTTATGCTCCCAATCATGTGGCACGATCTTTGTCGAACACCATACATAGGTCATAGTAATGCGGGAATGGTTTGTTTCGCATGCCTTATGTATTTGGATGACCCTATGTAAGGAAAAAAAAAAAAAACTAAATATTAATATAGTGTGTTAGAACGGTAATTTGAACGGTAATTTAAGTTTGAATTAGCAATCTTACCCTATCTCATGCATAGAATACCTCATTCTTCGCTTCGATGCACTTAAAATCTTCTTTCCACCCAAATCCACTACATGCAGGTTCGAGCATCTCGACAATTGCTATGTACTGTTTTTTGAAACTACTGACTTTACGGTATGTAATCATTCTGTATCTTTTGAGGGAAAGGATGAGTTAGAAATATATTATATGTAGTTAAAAATATATCAAATTCAATTATGTAAATATTTATGTTTTTAATTTCAAATTAATTCTATTTAATAAAATGTTCCTTTTTTATTTGCAATTTTTTCAAAACTTCAAAATAGATATTTATTTAATTGCACATTTTATTTTTATTATTATTTTCAAGTTTAATTAAAATATGTTTACGGAGGGTGCCATGAATTTTTAGATAAGACTACTAACTTACGTTGGTGCTGAGAGTCGAGTATATTTTATTGGTTTTTAGTTTATTTTAGAGTGAATTCTATGATTGAGTATACTTCAATTAGTACATATAGATGAATTGGAAGTTTAATTTCAAACATTCTGATTAGATTAGCAACATGGGAGGAGTTTCTTCGCTCATTCATTCTTGAAGAATAAGAGATTCGATTTCGATAAATTGAGTAACAGTGGAATTGATCTAGAAGAATTGCTCCACGTTGCTTATTTGTGAACATTATATGCATGCCTACTTACGTGACTACGTTCGCGATCTCAAACACAATCCTCTCTACTAAGGACTCGCATTATATGCATGCCTACTTACGTGACTACGTTCGCGATCTCAAACACAATCCTCTCTACTAAGGACTCGCTCCATCCCAACTTAGTCTTCGAATAGAATACCCCTAACTTAGATACTATATTAACCCTATCAATATTTTTAAACATATTTTGATGAGCCCATACATGAATATATGGTAATTGTAAAATAAAATTGATTGATTAAATTTAAATTATAATTAATAAAAAATAATTAAATATCCTATATATATATTATTCATAAATAAAAATTATTATAATATTCAACGAAAAAATATATATATATTTTAAATATAAGTGATACTAAATATTTATAATTAAAATTTTATATAAATTTATTATGAGGATAATTATTAAGATGCACCCAAAATAAACTAAAAAATATAAAATTTAAGGTAGATAAATAAATATTTAATTAGTTAAAGTTGTTTTTTTTGGTGATTTATTAAAAATAAAATAATTAACCACAATTAATTAAAATTAAATACTATATTTAAATATGTTTTTGGTGATTTATTAAAACTATAATAATTAACCCCAATTAATTAAAATTAAATACTATAATAAAATTTAAATAAAAATTTAATTAGTTAAAGTTGTTTTCAGTGATTAAAAAAAAAAAAAAAAAAAAAAAAAAAAAAAAAAAAAAAAAAAAAAAAAAAAAAAAAAAAAAAAAAAAAAAAAAAAAAAAAAAAAAAAAAAAAAAAAAAAAAAAAAAAAAAAAAAAAAAAAAAAAAAAAAAACGTTCTTTGAGCGTTTTGCCTCGTTACCAGTCGGGACTGTGGCGGTACGACATTTGAAATCAGGGTTTTGCTCTACCATGCTCATCCGGAGGTTTCATCGAGCAGCGACATGGGCGACGCCTCTGTTGCGAGACACAACTGTAAGTTTTCGAACTTGTTTTTCTCTTCGTTTGTCTTCTCGAATCTTTGAATGCTTGGATTTCCTGTTTTATGGTTTATCTGTTCGTTAATTGTCTTCATATGCATTACCATTTTCTGATTGAATCGGAAACGAAGTTCTTAGTTTCTCTTTATTTCTGCTTATATTATGATTATTTTTTATGTATTCAACAAACGGCTAATGGAAGGAAGAACTAGGTACCCTTTTTTTAACTTTCCGTATTGCGATTCTTGCATCAGAATTTTTTGGATTACAATCATCTGTTAGTTCTCCTTTGGTCCTGTTCTGCTTAATTCTCTGTTTTGTGTTATTTGTGAAATAATGAACTGTGGTTAAAAGCTCTCCCCATCACTTATTTCTTATTTTTCTATAGTAGGCAATCCAGGATTTACCCTGAACTATGCCTTTGTTGGTCTAGTTTGATTTTGGAACGTCAAGACATTGGTTGGATATGTTTATAGAAGAATTGCGCATTAACTTCCTGTATACTATATTAACGTACGTTAACTTGTTTCAAACTTCTTTTAAGGAATCTCAATTTATCAATATATGAGCACACAGGTAGGACAAATCATGGAGCTTGGAGTCAACAAGCTGCAAATTGGGAACTCTTGTTACTGCACAATGTTACAAAATCAAATGTCTAAACGTTTTGGTGATAAAGATATGACAGATAAGGTATCTGAGATTAAAAGAAAATTGTTCATGCATAGAAAGTATGACGTATTCTTTAGTTTTTTGATGCTGCAACAGAGTAAAATTAGTTTTGTTGATATTTTAAAGGTTAACCTTTTCTTTTCTTCTTTTGGTATAACTATCTTAGCTCTCTCTATTTATATTTCACTATTTGGCGGCAGAAATGATATTAAGGTTGATGAATTATATTTTATTGAAGGGTTTGAAAAAGGAAGAGAGTCCTATTATCTTTGTCACAATTAGGGTTTAGTGCTGGGTCCTTACTTCTCAAGTTTTTATGCTCTTGAATCTTGTAGTTGTCAGTTTCTTCTACCATTGTGCATTATATCTTGACTTACAAAATGTACTTTCTTTCTTTATTTTCGTTTGTTTCTGTTATCCTGTCAAACATTCCACATATTTGATATGCCTCGAGTACTAAAATAGAGTAATAATGATTATGGAAATTACCCTAAATGTATTTGCTGGTAATTTAGTTAACTCTTGAATTGTCTACCAATGGTCCAGGATGTTAACAATAGTAAACCTTTGTACCAGACTTCAGAGCGAAATATTGGAGACATTAGAAAGCACCAAATTGGGGAAAACGTTTCACGGAAGGACAAAATTGACTTTCTTGTAAATACTGTAAGTATCAATGGGAAAATATCTTCCCTCTTTCTTCTTTCTTTTTTTTGGGGGGTGGGGGTGGTTGGTAGTCAATTAAGTCTTCTCAAAATCAGGTATAGGTGTATTTTCATTTGATGGGTAGCTATTATATTTTCTGATTCCAAAAAGAAAAAAAAAAAAAAAAAAAAAAAAAAAAAAAAAAAAAAAAAAAAAAAAACA